AAAAGTTTTCGGAAATTCTCATTTAAAATTCGCGCGCTGTATATTTTTCGATATTTTAAGTTTATGTAGTTTGGCAGCACTGTCCTTAATTACTATGCCAAAAATGAGCTCGATCTGTCAGACAGTTCGTTTACGGCAGCTGTTGAAACCAGTTCACCTCAGTAGTGCGTTGCGAAATGTCTTCGACGGTCGTACGACCGTCCTGGAAGGCTTTGTACCACTCATAAACTTGAGTTTTCGATAAAACTGATTCCCCATAAGCCTTTTGTAGCATTCGCAACGATTCTGCACACGAAATTTCGTTCGAAACACAAAATTTGATGCAAACTCTTTGTTCAATATTTTTTTCCATTGTTTTTTTCGCAACGCCCTACTGAGGTGAACTGGTTTCAACAGCTGCCGTAAACGAACTGTCTGACAGATCGCGCTCATTTTTGGCATAGTAATTAAGGACAGTGCTGCCAAACTACATAAACTTAAAATATCGAAAAATATACAGCGCGCGAATTTTAAATGAGAATTTCCGAAAACTTTTCGGTCTTAATGTATATTGCAGATATGTCTATAGAAATATCTTACTTATAAATATATATACATATATACATTACTTATTATTTTAATCTGATTTAATTGCACTTTAAGAGCTATTGCTACATCGAAATTTGAACCCACATATGCACGTCAAGCATTTCCGTGCTTTGATGAGCCTGCTATGAAGGCAACTTTTGAAATCGTTTTGGTACGCCCAACTGAAGATGGATATCATGCGCTTTCCAACATGAACGAACTGGTAAAACCATAAATTTTGATATTATATTTCCATATTAAATAGCCACGGTTTATCAGAAATCTGTAGCCATGGGAAAATATACCGAAACTTATTTTGCAAAAAGCGTTGCGATGAGCACTTATGTTGCTTGTTTTATTGTTTCTGATTTTGCGCACAAAACTGAAAGAATCGATACGAAAGGAATTGGAGACAATTTCGATATCCGTGTTTTTGCCACAGCTCACCAATTGAACAAAGTAGACTTTGCTCTGACCACTGCTGTGGCCATCACAGAATTCTACATCAGCTATTTCAAAGTTCCATATCCACTTCCTAAGTTGGGTGAGTCCTTGCTACCGGTAAAGAAAGAACAATTTACTGAATATAGTTTTTCATTGGTTTTCATTTAGATATGGCAGCCATTCCAGATTTTGTTTCAAACGCCATGGAACATTGGGGACTAGTGACTTATCGTGAAACTGCACTTTTATATGACAGCAGTTACAGTTCAACTTGGAATAAGCAGCGAGTTGCAGTTGTTGTGGCCCATGAATTAGCACATATGTGGTTTGGTAACTTAGGTAAGGTAATATAATTTTATTGATAATCTTTTCGTATTTCAAAGTTAATTGTTTACTACCATATATAGAAGAAAAGTTATGGAGATAACGATAAACTTCGTTTAGCACCTAAAAGAAATTTTAATGCCAATATATTCGAATGGCAGATACTATCTGTTCCTTCATTAAACTGTTACGCTTTAAAATGCTTTTCTTTTACAGTTACTATGATGTGGTGGAATGATTTATGGCTAAATGAGGGTTTTGCAAGATATATGGAATACAAGGGAGTTAATGAAGTATACCCCGAATGGGGAATGGTTAGTTAATTTAAGTATATGTTATTTGACCATAAAAATTACTAAACACTCATCATATTACCCAGCTCAATCAATTCTTGATACATGCTCTACATAGTGTAATGGCTTACGATTCTTCAGTAGCTTCTCATCCTATTATACAAACTGTAGAGACTCCAGATCAGATTACAGAGATTTTTGATACAATTAGTTATGAAAAAGGAGCTTCTGTAATACGTATGTTAGAGGATGTTACAGGAGAGAAGTTCGAAGCAGCTGTTACTAGTTACCTAACACATTTTAAATTTCTTAATGCAATCACGGGCGATTTTATAAGAGAACTTGAGTTACAGGAATTGGATTTTGATGTGGAGTAAACTCCTTGAATATTTGATTGTGGCTCCCAAAACTTAATAATTTAATTTTTAATTTTGTATCGTTAGACTTTTTATGCGCACGTGGACTGAGCAGATGGGTTTTCCGGTTGTTGAAGTTATTCGTACCACACCCACCACATTCAGACTAACACAAAAGAGGTTTTTCAGTAACATTGAGGATTATAATGCAATTTACAATGACTCAGTTTTTAAGTATGTTTAGACTTATATTCAAGACCATAAAAGTTTGATGTATTTGTACACAGCTACACATGGAGCATACCTCTTACATATTATACTGATCTCGACTCAAGTACTATTGAACGTAGATGGTTCAACCACGATGAGTCTATTGTGGAAATAATGGTTGATCCAGAAATAAAGTGGATTAAGATAAATGTAAATCAAGTGGGCTTTTACCGTGTCAACTACGCTGACAATACTTGGCATGAAATAATTGCCCATTTGACTGCCACACCAGAGGTAAGCTGTTGAATGTAGTAGTCGATCTCATAAAAAAATTGGATTCGTGTACTCTTACAGACGTTTAGCATTGCGGATCGTGCACATTTACTAAATGATGTTTTTGCTTTAGCTGATGCCAATCAATTGAGTTACGATATTGCATTGGACATGACTAAATATTTGGAAAAGGAAAACGATTTTGTGCCGTGGTATGTGGCGGCAACAAAGCTTCAATCTTTGCAGGTAATAATAGACATTCAAAGCAGTTTTAGTTTTATTTTTCGATTTTTCCAATCCTAGGTAAGCTTAAGATATACTGATGCGTATATCGATTACTTGGCGTATGCTCGAAATTTGTTGGATAAAATCTATTCACAAGTTACTTGGGAAGTAAAAGAGGAAGACCACTTAAATAAGTAAGTTGGATTCACTTTTACAGATTATAGCGGTGATAACTTTCTTATTCAATCGTAACTTAGTCGTTTACGTGTAAGCGTGTTGACTGCCGCTTGTTCGCTTGGTGTGCCAGATTGTCTCAACGAAGCCGCTACTAGATTCACCAGTTGGCTCGCAATACCTGAAGATAAACCTCATCCAGACTTACGTGAGATTGTGTACTATTATGGTATGCAGCAAATAGGAAAACAGGAACATTGGGACAAAATGTTGGAGATATATTTGAAAGAGCAAGACGCTAGTGAGAAGATCAAATTGATGTATGGTCTGTCAGCAGTACGCATACCTTGGCTACTATACAGGTGAAGCATAGGTTCATATAATTTCAAATAAAAGGAAATAGTGTTGTATTTTTTAACATTTCAGCTTTATTGAATTAGCCGAACAGGAAAAATATGTACGACGGCAAGATTATTTCACATGTCTACAGAATATCGCTACAAATCCAATCGGCACACCTATAGTATGGGAGTTCGTACGTGAAAATTGGTCAAAGCTAGTTGATCGTTTTGGTTTAAATGAGAGATATCTTGGTCGTATGATACCATCTATCACACAAACTTTCGACACTGAAACCAAATTAGAAGAAATGTCAGAGTTCTTCAATAAATATCCTGAAGCTGGTGCGGGAGCAGCGTCGCGTAAACAAGCTTTGGAGACTGTCAAATATAACATAAAATGGTTGGCAGAAAATAAAGATAAGGTGGCAACATGGCTAAATTCTCAAAGATAATTACGTACTAATAAAAATATTTTGTGAAATTAAAATACAAAACCAGAACAGTAATAAATCTGTATAATAAGACGACAACGATTGTGTTTGATAAAAGTCACTAATTGTACTATTTTGGCAATAAATTTTATTTGAGAAATATTCATGTGTTATTTAAAATAAAAATAGTTAAGAATATTAACAAAACGAAAATCCCACTACACTACAGCCCTATATTTGAGAGGGCTATATTGAGAGAGCTATATTTATTTTTAGTGCACTATAGTAATTACTTTATGTATGTCGTTAATGGCATTGGCCTAATAGGAAGATCAGTAACAGAAATGCAAAATGTGTTTTTAAGAGCAGACAACAGTTCGAAATGAAACTTAACAAAGGACTTAATATCGAATACAAAACGAAAGTGCTGTTGTCAGCCAAGGAGCAGATTCCTACCATCGACTATTGAAAAGTAAATAATAATTTTGATTAATGACTACGATTTAAACATCCAAGAACGAATCAACAATAACCCCTGCAAATAAATTCTTCTATATTGATAACACTCAGTATATTCCTGTTTAAGATCCAAGGCAATTCCTCGCCCAATATGTGTTTATGAATGTGAAACTTCATATATTATCTTGAAATAAATTGTCTTTAAGAAACAGGCACACAGACAGATACGGCGTAAGAGTGCAAACAGCACGGTACCAATTGAAATATCTGAGAATTAAATGGATGGCCTATTAAGAACCACAATCAATTTCTCAAAAATTATGACTTAAATTTCAAAGAAAAAATAATTGTGAAAAGTTTCCAATATCGTTAATTTGTGGGGTGAAAAATAATTTGAGACAACTTGATGTTAATGACTCGGAAGATTGTATTTGAATTGTATAGTCCATGAGGTATAAGAAGTTTTTTTAAGGTCATAAAACAAAATTTAATGTAGTACATTAAGCTATTAAGTTATTTATAATGACCAATATATTTTTTATGGGCATAATAGTACAAAACCTTAAGATTGTGAACATTTTGCTTAGGTTATTTAGATAAAATGACTTATATTTGATAAATATGTCTGCAGTTCGATTAGATGGTCATTCTCTGAGTACATAATGGTATATTTCAGATCTTACAATAGTTTTTTGTTGTTCATAGGCTCGTAATAAAATATCGAAGATAGTAAAAGAGCTCTAATAAACAATTTAAAAAACAACAATATATATTCATATAAAGTTTAAAAATGGTTTTTTGATACTTTTTTATTAGTACGATTGAATATATTTGCTCAACATAAGTATCTGAACCGCACTATAATGTAGGAAATGGTGAGCTTGGTCACCTTTTATCATATTGTCCAGATGGCTTCTATGTTATGTGTTCTTTGAAGAGATTATCTTTTTGAACTGAGTTATTTCGAGTACATCTAATAGTGATAAAAAAAAAGAAGACTAAAACTGAATAAAGTAAATGTTAGTAAGAAAATACAGGATAGTTATAATAAACTTTGAGATGGTCTAAATACTCTAGAGTATTTTGACAGTTTTTAGGCTTTATTCCTTGAAAATGAAATAATTTAGTTAAAGCTGTAGGTGTTGACGTAGTCGGGTATATACCGCTGTATATGAGTGATTTTATTTTTATTTTTTTTTGTTATCTTTTTCCAGTTTACAATATTCTGGATATAACATTGACTATTAATTCCTTTTGAGTGGATTATGCTATGTAGCGAAAGATTCATTTTTCCTAATATTAAGTATTCTTGAGTGAGTCTGGTATTGGTACCGATCTCGATAAAAATATAAAATATAAAATCACAACGTAGTTCCACGTTGGTATCAAGTTTTTGACAGCTGAAG